AAATAGTAAATATTTTAATTTGTTTAAAATGAATAGGTTTTAGGTTTATTAACTGATTTATAAACCTAGACAATGAAATCTATGACAAAAAAGATAAAAGCATGGAAAATATAATTCTTACAAAGTTTTAGTTCACCCACTCGACATTGAACCAGAGGCTAACAGAGTAAAGCGAAGTGATGACGATGTTTTTGTTCCTCCAAAATATGATGAAGTACTGAAGCTGCATAGGCAAAGCTCGAGAAGCTCTACGCACTCAAAATTTAGCATTAGAAGCCGATCAAACGACGATTGCACGTGATTGAGAATGTGGAAACATTATACTAGTAGTGATTAAGCCACTAATTAGAGAACCAACAAGTATTTGAGCTAATAACAAAGTGACAATGAGTCAATGGTTTTGCCTTATTGAAAAATCTTCATGATCGAATATGGATACTCTTATAAACATTTTAAATAATAAGAGTATCCATATTGTTGGTGGCTACGAGGATTAGTCCAGATTTTGATCTAGACTAAAATATTTTGAATCAAAAAATATTTGTAAAAGCGAGTTTTCATAGTATTTTATCTATGTATGAAGAAAGACCACATAATCATTGAGATTGGGGACTCGCAAGTTCTTGTCAAGTTGATATCGACGCAATATTCTGTTTTAAAAAAAAAAATTATCAGTTATAGACCTTATGGGGAAGTTAGACGAAGACGTGTTATGGTTTGATGTCAAAAATTTCTTCTATTAGTTCTTGTAGTTTGTTTCAAGATTCTTTAGCTAACAAGATGTCCACTAAATTATTGTAGTCCGACGAATGGGGAAGTATTATTGACTTATTATTGCAAGTGTACATGAACCCTTTAAACACAGAAAAGAAAAAGTGTACATGAACTCAGTCAAAATCGGCATAAAAAGTGTGATACAGAATTAAAAAACAAAAGTGTTATAAGAAATTAAAAGCCGACAAAAAAAATCGATGAAATATAAATTAATTTATGTGTTTTAATCTAAAAAGAAAAAAGTGGGGACTGAGGGTGTGAGAGAGCACATGGGAGGGGAGAGATTGGCGTACTTTTGGGAATTACATAATACACACCACTCTCATGTGCTGAAGAATAAATTTAAGTTTGTCCGAGTCTTAAGTTGAGTCCGAGTCTTATGCGTTAGTTTTTGAGTTTAATTGGTGTTGAATAAATCGTTGCTTACTTATAGGAAGCACGTTAGTCATAGTGGAGTTGTGGAAATCTATTTCTATTTTCTTCTATTTAAGCAAGTCGAGTCTGTAATGTTTCATTATCACTTTTCAATAGAACAAGTCAGTTCACTATTT